ATACTCTTAAAATCCCTAGAAGAGATTATATCTCTATTTTTCAAGTAAAAGTAAATGAGGCTTAGAAAGCTAAGAAACTTGCTCAAGACTATATACAATTAGTGAATAATATATACAGACTGTTCATTTACCAATCAACCCCCTTGGTAGATTGAAATTAAAAGCAAGAGTTATGTCCTTCTAATCCTTGAGTCTTTCATACCGTGTCTGACTTTTAGTAGGCACTTGATATAAGTTTGTTTGATGCCTGTGAACTCTTTCTTGGCCAGCCGGACTCTGGTTCTGACTCCTCCTCATGTAAAACAAACTCAAGTAGAAGAGCTGGTGGTGAGAATGGATCAGAAAGGAAAGAAGGTGAGGCAAGTCCTACAGCCAGTGGAGAAAAGATAAAGGGTGTAGCCATAGCAGTGTTTTGGGAAGGAGCTTTTCATTTTTTGGCCAAAGGTTGACCCTCTAATAAAGGAAAGACAAGCTCATTTGGCTAGGACCACAATCACTTCATATTAAGCTGACAGTCCAGAGCTGAACTGTGCTGAATCAAAGCTTTTAGGGTCAGATTTGTGTTAAATTAATTTGAGCTTTCTTTCCTGACCCTTCGTCTTTATATATTGCTGTATCTTTAAGCGAGTTTAATGGTTAATCCAAATACTACCAATTTGAGCCATCACCCCTGGGACCATTAAGAATTAGTCCTATTAGGAGTGATTTTTATTCCCCTTGTGTTGAATTTTGAAGGGACCGGAACCGACTCTCTCCCCTCTCTTTCTCCTCCTTCCTCACTGGGTTTCAAGAAGGCCTGCACGATTTTTTGTGGCTGCTCTTCCTGACTTTGCTGTTTTCCCCCCTAAACCACATAGTCTAAGTCTGCTGAGTCTCGTGTAACCGAGCACCAAATACGTGGCAATGCTTGACTCAAGAAGGGCAGTAAGAAGCCTTGGGAACGGGTTCCCTGTGGCACTTCACAGTGTTGATCCTGGGTCTCTGCTTTGTCCCTTAGGCATCAGAGGGTCTTTGCAGAACTGTGGAGTTTTAGGACTTGTGCTACTTAATGCTGAGGTGCATCCTTTATGCATTTACCTGTATTTATTATATTTGTCCTAAACTCTGTTTTTTTACTCTGTATCTTTAATTCTGTTAATTATGTAGCTGTTCTCTGTTTTCTTTCTTAGCTGATAACTTATTGCCTGATAATGCTCATCTTAACGTTATTTGAGGGCTCTGGTCCCTGGTTCTCTTAAATTTACAAACAGTACATGAAATCCAGTTTCAAACAAACTGATAAACGAGAATGAGCCAGGTCGTTCCAGGGTCTCTGGATCCTAACAAACCAAAATAATATAGTGACCAGATTTTGAGATTGGAGTTATAGTTTTTAAAGCCATAGAGGAGCACATGGCAATCCACATGACCCACTGCTTAGCTTGGCCCTAACCTGGCACTTTTTATTTTTTAAAATGAGATTCTTCATAGAGCATCAAGAGTAAATCACATGTGAAAAATGTGAATGGGCTTTCCCTCTCCTTTAAATTATTTTTTCCACATAATATGTCCTATAAATTTATTTTTTCTAGTAAAATCATTTCCAAAATGATCCTGGTTCTTGTTTTCCCTTTTGTGTGTGGATAGAAGGGAATCTCATGCACCTGATGTACTTGTTTTGCCCTCTCGATGGTTTGCCTTTTCCTGACCTCAGGTAAACTGGCAGGTGAAGGAGGCTGGCACTGGAGATGGATGCTCTGGCTACTTGGATGATTTCCAGATGGACATCAGAGGAGCTGCAGCTTCTCACGTTGGGCTTGTTGGAGTCTGTGCTGAGTGGGTAATGGCCCGGGGCTGGGTGTGTGTTAAGGAGGCAACTCTGTTCTCTCATCTTCTCAGAACACACAAGCTGCTTCTGTCTGATCAACCAAAAAAAGGTTATTTCTGAGTTTAAAATTTAGAGTAAGCAGTTCATTTTTTAAAGAAGAAGAAGGGAAAACTTGAAGAATCAATTTTAGGACTGAAAAAAAATAACCATTCCAGAGAAGTATGCATGAAGTTTTGATTGACTGTTTTGCATAGTAGAAAAAAGATTAATCTCTCCACCTATATTCATAACACTCATTAAAATCAGCTTTCTGTGAGAGATAGCTGTATCCATGACTGGCTTCCTGAGAATGTGAGCTGCTTTGGGCAAATTCTGTCTCATCCTTCCTTTTCTGTATCTGCTACATTCCTGACATAATACCTCACACTCAGGAGGCTTTCCTGAAGTTACTCTTCTAATTGAGTAGAGACAGAACAAAGCAACATTTTTGAAGGTTGCACTATGAATTTATGAAGAACTAGACTGTAGAGCGCCAACTGAATTCCATTTGTACCCATTCAGAGGGAGTATTTGTAATATTGAACTCAAGATTCACTTGACTAATGAGTTCAGCAATATGTTAGAAGGAAAGAAAGAAGAAAACAGATTCAAGTGAAGTAGCTGTTAATCTGAACCGAAACCTTTTGAATCTTAGAATTTCAGTGTTGAATGTTGGAAATCATTTGAGTGATAAAATCCAAATGTGTTTCTATGTTTTCTGATAATTATTTTATAAAATGTTTGAAAAGATTTCTATTTTAAAATTCATTATGAGGAGACAAACTTACTTGCTATGACAGAGGCACGTGTATTTGTGTAAATTTGAAGGCCCTGTGCTTTATCATAGAAATATCCCCAATGGGCCGGCCCCGTGGCTTAGCGGTTGGGTGCGCGCGCTCCGCTGCTGGCGGCCCGGGTTCGGATCCCGGGCGCGCACCGACGCACCGCTTCTCCAGCCACGCTGAGGCCGCATCCCACATACAGCAACTAGAAGGATGTGCAGCTATGACATACAACTATCTACTGGGGCTTTGGGGGGAGAATAAATAAATAAAATCTTTAAAAAAAAAAAAAAAAAAAGAAATATCCCCAAGTTCTTGATTCAGCTTTGTGTGACATTGGACATCGTATGGCATTGGACATACACTTTTGAACCAGTTTATAAAATGGGAATAATGTATATCTTATAGAGTTTTGTGATACTCAAGAAAACATACCTAAAAACATTTTCTATAGGATAGACAAATGTTATTAGTTTTTCTACCTTCCTATCTAGAAAGTACAGAAATTTTCTAAGTTGTATAAATTTTTCTTCTTGTGTTTTTAATTTTGTCAAAACAAATAGAAGTAAAAAGTTTATACTTTAGGACATCCTTTTAATGCATTTTAATATTAAATATTAGAATATATTTACCAGTTTCTAAAATATTTATACAAACTTTTAAATTACTTTGGAGAGTTTAATAAACTTCACATTTTATTTTTGGATTTTTAAATTTTGAATTCACTCTAGAATTATCTTTATTCTTTGATTCTAAGTCCTTTTCCATATTGGATATATCTCTCAAGAATGATTGTTTTCCCACTTCTGGGTATATATCAAAAGGAAACAAAATCAGTATCTTGAAGAGATATCTATACCCTTATGTTCAGTGCAGCATTATTCACAATAGCCAAGGTATGGAAACAACCTAAATGTGTGTCAATGAGTGAATGGGTAAGAAACTGTGGCGCATATATATGTGTGTGTGTATATATATATATGTGTATACACACACACACACACACACAATGGAATATTATTCAGCCTTACTAAAGAAGGAAATCTTGCCATTTGCACAACATGAATGAACCTAGAGAACATCACGCTAAGTAAGATAATGCAAACACAGAAAGACGCTTACTGCATGATCTCACTTGTATGTGGAATCTGAAATAGTTGAACTCATAGAAACAGAGGGTAGAGTGGTGGTTGCCAGGGGTTGGAGGGTGGAAGAAATGCAGAGATGTTGATCTAAGGGTACAGAGTTTCAGTTATGCAAGAATAAGTTCTGGAGATCTAATATACAGCACAGGGGCTATAGTTATATCAATAACGTACTATATACATGAAATTTGCTAATGCTATTTTTTGCTACTAATTTTCTAATAATAATAGTGTAGATCTTAAGTGTTTTCACTACACACACACAGCAAAAAAATGGTAACTGTGTGAGATATGGATATTTTAATTAGCTTGTTTGTGGTGATCATTTCACAATGTATACGCATGTCAAACATCGTTTTACACCTTAAATATATACTACTTTTATCTGTCAACTGTACCTCAATAAATCTGGGGAAAAAATGAAATACATTATTCTGAATAGTATTTATTTTTTGCCCTACGTACTCTATGGTTAAATGTTGTCATAAACAGTTACATTTAAATGTATTTATATCGTTCAACTTCTTGAATATCTTCTAAAGTATATCATTTAAGTTTTATAATCATTTATTTCCTCAAAGGCCTGAAAAAATTTTTTGTTTTAATATGGGATGGACTTTAGTTTTCATATTGTGATGGTTAGCAAGAACCAGTAGAGGGAGCTCCAACTCATCTTTCTTGGTGAATTGAGCTCTCAACTTGAAAATGTAGGTTTGTGGAGAAGGCACACTTAAAAATAAACTTAACACATGGTTATTAAAATTTTCAAAGGATGAAAATTGTAATTCTCCTTAACTTTGAGGGGGGAAACAGTCTCACTCAGATTTCCATGCTTTTAAGTAGACTACCCTCAAATAACTAAGCAAAAACTTCTACACATGTAACCTCTTATAAGTGATCCATCACACAACCCAAGACTTTTAAAATCAAGACTCTATCTCTGGTCAGTTGAGGAGGAGGAGGAAGAGTGATGGTGATAATGTTATTGTTTGAAGTGAAGGTAAGTAAGGTAAAATTTGAAATAATTGGTAGATAGTCACAATAGCAATGTTATACTCAGGTGAATTGCTGAGTCATTCTGTAGGATAGGGAGAGAACGAAAATTTCCTTTTACTTGGAAATGTTATGCTTTGAGAAGGTTTTTAAATCAAAATCTAGAAAGGCTCTAGAACCTTTGCTCATACCTAGAGTGCTAGACCTAATTATTACCTGTTGCTTTCTTTATAGACCCCAGAAGAAAATATCATGTGAGGCTGCTGGCTTACAGCAACGTAGAAGATGGCTATCAGGCAGACCAGACAGTCAGCACGCCGGGATGCGTGTGTAAGTAGGTCCTTTCACTATGGCTCACACTCCTTTTTCTCCTCCTCCTTCTCCTTTAAATTTGTCTCATTGCTACTTGAAGGCCTTGTTGGTTTTATTACTTTATATCCTCCATAGTGCCTAACGTACTATCTTGAACAAGTATGTGCTCAGTAAATATTTCAGTGAGATGTATTTAATTATAAGAATCTATTTTAGTTTTGCATGCAAAAGACCATTAGATATTTAACTGGGTAAAATAGCCATCGAATACCTACATACTGAGTTTTCTTTTATCTGCTTTAACCTTGAGGCTAATTATTTTCTTCCAATTGCCGTTCAGTTTTATTGCTACTAAAAGCTGTTGGGTTTTATTGCTGCCAAAGAGGATTTCTGGATATTTTTGGCTGGTAGCTTGACTTCTCTGTGCTTCTGTTTTCTAATCTGTTAAGTATTGATAATGTTTGATTCCTTAGCTCACTCATGGAAGAGTTGGCTCAGGTTTGAAGGATATATCTCTAGACCACTGTGAACTTCTGGTAGAAGAAAGACCTAAAGTCAACTTTAGGGTGGGGTATTTTGATTTTACCATTTCACCACTTTCTACATCAAATGTTATGCCGTGAGGTGAATTAACATTGTCTTTTTCAATAGCTGTTCGTGATCGCATGGTTCCTCCTCCACCACCACCCCACCATCTGTATGCGAAGGCTAACACCTCATCATCCATCTTCCTGCACTGGAGGAGGCCTGCGTTCACCGCTGCGCAAATAATTAACTACACCATCCGCTGTAACCCTGTTGGCCTGCAGAATGCTTCTCTGGTTCTGTACCTTCAAACGTATGTAGCTTCTGTTAATGGTTGTTTTCTTGGCTTTCCTCTCCGCTCACACTTACTTCTTACCGTCTTGGGGCAGCTTGAGCTTCAGCTGTAACCGTTGATCTCAGGATTTATCTTACTTGTAAAATAGCTGGGGATTTTACATCTTCACGGTACTCAGTTCTGAAAACTGCATCTTCTGACGTTTCGTTTCCCTAAATGATTTTTTTATTTCCCCAGCCTCATGCAACAAGATGAGGCAAGAAGCTATTATTGCTTTCAAGTGGCCAAACTTAGCATATTTAAAGAAAGAAACAAAAGACCATTTTCATGCTGGCATCACAAAATAATTAGCTAGTGATTCTGTTTTCTAGGTTGTAGTTAGAAAGATGCCCATCACTATGCTTTAAAAGAATGATTTGACTTCCAGTATTTCAAAGGAAATCCTTTGTATTGGGACATTTCTATACTGTTTAATTTCCTAGTTTCCTCTCAAAGAGGCAATTTTTAGGCTTATTTCTGTAAGATAATAGCAAATGTCATACTTCAGTAGTCAAATTAGGTTGCTCTTTTAGTCTAAAAAAAAATTTTTTTTAATTGTGGTAACCTTGGTTTATAACATTATATAAATTTCAAGTGCACGTCATTATAGTTCGATTTCTGTGTTGACTACATCACGTTCACCACCCAAAGACTAATTACCATCCATCACCGTACACATGTGCCCTGTCACCCCTTTCGCCCTCCTCCTAAAAAAATTTTTTAAAGAAAATGAAGAGCTAATAAGTAGTAACAATATGCCCTACCTGTATTGATAGGAAATACTGACAATCTTTAGAAACGGTGTGCTATTGGCATTAATAACTTCATTACTCATTGTTATAGATCAGAAACTCACATGTTGGTTCAAGGTCTGGAACCAAACACCAAATATGAATTTGCTGTTCGATTGCATGTGGATCAGCTTTCCAGTCCCTGGAGCCCCGTTGTCTACCATGCTACACTTCCAGAAGGTAAAGAAAGCAGCTCCCTTATGGGTTTTACCTGAATGTTTAAAAAATCTATATGTCGTTTTGAAGAGGATACTGCCCTGGTTGCCACCTACCCGTTGACATGTATGTATTTGTTTTGTTTCTTTTGAAATTTCTTTTGAAATTTTGAAGTTTCTTTTCCTTTATTATATTTAAATTTTTTTCCTCTCTGTGTGTATGTATTGTACAAGCAAGTGGGCTTAAATTTAGTGTCTCATTAGGGGAAACTAAGTTTTTTTAATCAGGCGTGCTTTTTAAGGCTGCACGCAAGTAACTTAAAATGGAAGTAAATGAATAATGTATTTTGTGATGTTAGGAGCCCACAGTAGAACCTGTTTCATCTATATGAGTGATGGCTTGATGCTGTGTGCAGTGGATATGATTCCTGACTGGGCACCATTTCTGTAGCTGATCTTTGGCTCTCACCGAGATACGTCACGTCTCTAGACCTGCATTTCCTTCTCTCTAGAATGAGAGTGAAGGACTAGATGATCTATAAGGACCATTGCAGCTCTATGTAATTATGCTGAGAGAAAGCAAAGGACATTTATGATCCTAGGGCTTCCTTGCTATGGTGTTGCCAACATTCCATATGTGATGTGATGCCAAAAACCAGCTCTTCACACTTTTAGCTCATACTAAACATGGGGTCAACTGAAATCCCAAGATTTCACTACTTTTCGCAGATATAAATTATTAATCTAAAGTCTGCCCTATAAACTCACTGATTCACAGTTTTTTGGAGAATGACTAAATTTTGGTCTCAGAAGTACTTTCATCAGTGGCTTCCTAGATCAGGTTAAGTATATGTTCTATACATTGTAGTAAGAAATGTAACTTAGATTCAGTATCTCTTGGGCTGTGACTCGACTCGGTATCTAATGGGCATGTGCTGCTGGTGGAACTGTAAACCTTTCTAGTTACCAGTTTGGAAAAACAATAACAAGAGCCCTAAAAGTGCTTACAATGTTTGACTTAGTATTTCCCCATCTGGGAATCTACCATCTCCTTTATATTTTTTTAATGTTTTAAACATTATAAAAATGAAATTAGCTTTCAAGGAAAGAAGAAAAAATAGTATTTTATCGTTATCACTAATGATCTGTAAAAGCTATGATTTTGAGATGTTTTTATAGTGGTTTCTAGTTTTTCAAACTCTTTTCTATGCCTGTCAGTCTGTTAACCAGGTATTTGAGTGTTTGTGACCGTTTTATCCTAGTGATACCATATTTTCTACCTGTGTGCACAGCACCAGCAGGCCCACCAGTTGGAGTAAAAGTGACATTGATAGAGGATGACACTGCCCTGGTTTCTTGGAAACCCCCTGATGGCCCAGAGACAGTTGTGACCCGCTATACCATCTTGTATGCGTCCCGGAAGGCCTGGATTGCGGGAGAGTGGCAGGTCCTACACCGAGAAGGTAAATATGATCATAAATTACCAGAGAGGATGAAAAGTAAGATTATTAACGATAAGGAAACAAAGGGAAAGAGCGATCTAGAGTTTGTTTTGAATTTATAATAACAAATTTTTAAGGATTTTGGTTTTATTCAAAGAACATTAGGAAGCCATCAACATGTTTTAAGCATGAGCATATGATTCACCTTTCAGAGAGAGCACTCTGATTGTTGTGAATAGAAGAGGTTTGGTTGAGGAGTAGGGGTAAGAGTGATACGGAGAGACTAGTTAGTAATTGTAGTGGTCCAGGAAGAAGATAGTAAACCTGGATTAGGGGATGGGGATTGAGATGGAAAGGAGAGGATGGTTGAAAGATATTAAGGAGGTAAAATCAACAGGCTTAATATCTTAAGGTGGGGGGCGATAAGGGAGGGAGAATTGTTATAGATAATTACTAGATTTCCCGTGGTGGTGTGTCTTACACTCGAGTAGCAAATGCTGGAAGAAGACCTGGTTTAAGAGAGAAGACCTTTGTATGGCTACTAAAATGGTCCACATGCGAATAAATTGACCCATGTGATACAGGATCCACTTACAGACAGGGAAAAGCTGATCAAGGTGTTAAGAACACTGAATTTAATTTTTTAACACCAGATTTTTTTTTTTTAGCTGAGAAAAATTGTATTCTAAAACTCAACATTCTTACTGCATGCTTTTATCATTATATCCTTTTTAAATTTTTGAGTCTTCCATTTGGATAAGTCCAATATGCCACTTTTTAGTTGGGCCATCACATAAATAGTAAAACTTCATTATTTTGGCACTTTCTTAATTCAGACATGCATGCTGGGGAAAGAACTGTTTGCCAAGCAGTTAAAAACTTAAGGATTTCAAGAAGGAAATTTGTTGGACATCTACATATTCTAAACACTTTACAGTACTAGGCGCTTCTACATACGTTTTACCTTTTTCGGGGATATTTACCAAATTAAGAGAGTAAACTTTAAAGACACTTTCATGGGGCCGGCACCGTGGCTTAGCAGTTAAGTGTGCATGCTCTGCTGCTGGCGGCCCGGGTTTGGATCCCGGGCACGCACTGACGCACCACTTCTCCGGCCATGCTGAGGCTGAGTCCCACATACAGCAACTAGAAGAATGTGCAACTATGACATACAACTATCTACTGGGGCTTTGGGGGGAAAAATAAATAAATTAAAAAAAAAAAAAAAGACACTTTCATGGATGTAATATAAAACTCTTTATGCAATTGTAAAATAAACAAATGGTCACTTTAGCTGGAGTTGTGATAGTTGTATATTCATATTTGTCACTAAGCAGAAGCCCCACTGAGTAATAATTTTCTAGTCACTGAAGAGACTTGAAAGTAACAAGTACTTGTCAGCAATACAATTTTATATTTGTATTGATTATTTGTTGCTACCTAACAAACCACTCTAAAACTTGGCCATTTTATTTTCTCACAATTCTGTGAGCCAGCAGTTTGGACTGGGATCAGCTGGGCAGTTCTTCTGTTGATCTCTCCTGAGGTCACTCATGAGGCTGTCATCATCTCACAGTTTCAACAGAGTGTGGGTAGCTTAAAAACAGCAAGAGAGAGTTCCAACTTCAGGAAGAGAGGGAGGAAGCCCCATGTACAAAACTTTTGCAAGCCTCTGCTTGCATCACATTCGCTAATGTCCCCCTGGGCAAAGCAAATCGTGTAGGCAAGCCCAGAGTTAGTGTGGAGAGGACTGCCCACAGGTGTGGATAGATGGAGGCATAATTTGTTTGGGGCTATTAGTCTTACAATCTACAGCAATATGTACATTTTTTAATTGAGGTAAAATTGATTTATATACATTGCACGTGTTCATCATTTTATTTTGATTTCTGTATGGACTATATCATGTTCACCACCAAAAGTCTAGTTGCCATCCATCTCTGTATGAATGTGCCACAATATTCTTTAAGTGTATAATTCAGTTTTAGTTAATTAATTCCAAAATGATTTATTGACACATTTGATCAAGTGACTAACTTGATTTCATGACATGTTATTTATAAGTATTAATAAAGAATTTTGATCACATGAGCACATACTTCTTTTAGCTCTTCATTTGTACCTCCCTAAAAATAAACAGTATTTTGTTTTGGTTCCTTTTAATGCATTCATTTGTCAGTTTCAGACAAGGCTCAGAAAACAACATTTTGCCTCGCTGATGGCCCAGTAGTGAAATGGATTGTAATGGCAGGTTTTTATATTTATAAAAGCCTTTCTAACTATATAATCGTGCATAGAGAAAAAAATCTATTTTTGCTATTATCCTGCTTTTGTGATTTTAAGAAACATTCTCAGTGTAAAGCTTTTGTCTTTTGTTAAATGTAGAGAACCTTTTTCATAGCTAATGCTAGTAATTCATAAAAAACAAAATAAACAATTATAAGTAAAAAGCAATTGAGTTTACCTTTTTGAGAGAGGAAAATATAAAGGGTTTGAGTCACCCACTTTGAAACGAAAAGCAAAGAATACAACATGGCATTAAAAGAAAAAAATAAAATGTAAAATAGTCTTTAGTATCTAATTATGGCAACTTTTGGAAAAGGTAAAGATGTAGAAAAAGATGGAGGAAAAAAGGAGGGAGAATATCAATATCTCTTTCCTGTATGTCTGTTAATCTTCTGCACATGTTATGTTTATGCCTATTTACATGTATAATTAATTCACATATTTATTGCTAAGTGGAATAAGACTTTTTCATTAATCAAAACATTTTAAAAATGTTTCTGGGGACCATATGATATTTGTGGCTAAAATTATACATGGTAAAATGGTTGAGCAGAAATGTGATATGAAATTATGCTTGTTTATAATATAAAGTGGATCAGAAATCACAGCCTTTACCTTCCTGATATGCAGTAAATCAGCACAGACTACTCAATTATTTTAAAATCTGAAAGGCACTGTGGGAAATCATGCTCTACTACAGCAGTTCCTGAACTCTCTTCCTCAAAGCACGAGTCTCCCAAGATTGTATAGATGCTCTTCCTTCAAAAACAAAAAAAAGTTCCATGACTAAATAAATTTGGGAAACACCGTATATCATTTCCTCCTGTTAGAGATTCACATTGAAAATTAAAGTCCTGGGGCCAGACCGGTGGCGCAAGTGGTTAAGTGCGTGCGCTCCTCTGCGGCGGCCCGGGGTTCGCCGGTTCGGATCCCAGGTGCGCAGTGACGCACCGCTTGGCAAGCCATGCAGTGGCGGCGTCCCATATAAAGTGGAGGCAGATGGGCATGGGCGTTAGTCCCAGACCAGTCTTCCTCAGCAAAAAGAGGAGGATTGGCAGATGTTAGCACAGGGCTGATCTCACAAAAAAAAAAAAAAAAAGAAAATTAAAGTCCTTCAATAAAGGAATCCATTTAACTCAACATTTGCCAAATAAAATGGACCTCCAATAGTAGGAACATATTGATCTATTAAATGAATTCCTACTGCATTATTACTATGTGACAGGCTCTTTTCTAGGCATTGGCAGTACCACGGTGAACAAAACAATGTCCCTTCCCCATTGGAGCTTACATCTCAGATAACACACAAACAAATCTATAACTATTTAGGTAGTGTCATAAGTGCTATAAAGAAAGCTGCGATATGGGGAAGAGACAAAGTGGTGGAGGTAGTAAGGTAAGTTCTTTTGGAAAAAAATGACATCTGAGCAGAGCCATGTGGATATCTGGGGGAAGTGTAAAGGCCCTGAGACAGAAGTGTGCTTGGCATGTTAGAGGAACAACAAGAAGGCCAGGGAGGCTAGAGTGAGGGGAAGAGCAGGTGGTGGGAAATGGAGGGAGGTAACCAAGGGCAGATCTTGTAGGGCAGACTTTGTGGACCACAGATTTTATTGTAAGAGAGATAGAAGACATTGGAGACTTTTGATCAGATTTACATTTTAAAGGTATTACTCTGGCAGCCACCTGTAACAGCCACTTGAAAAATTGTTTCTAAGGAGGTAAGAGTAGAAGTTGGGAGAGCATTAATACACAGGTGTCCACATGAGAGTTAATGGGGGTTTGGACAGGGGTGATAACGGGGAAGGTAATAAGAAGCTATTAGAACATAATTTGAAAGAACAGCCCACTAGATTTGCCACAGATTGATGTGGAGCGTAAGAAAAAAGAGAAGCAATATTGGTGGGGGAGGGGCCGGCCTGGTGGCGCAAGCGGTTAGGCGCGCGCTCTCTGCTGTGGCGGCCTGGGGTTCGCTGGTTCGGATCCCGGGCGCACACCGACGCACAGCTTGGTAGGCCATGCTGTGGCGGCGTCCCATATAGTGTGGAGGAAGATGGGCATGAATGTTAGCCCGGGCCCAGTCTTCCTCAGCAAAAAAAAAGAGGAGGACTGGCGGATGTTAGCACAGGGCTGATCTCCTCACACACACAAAAAATTGGTGGGGGAAATCAAAGGTTTGGTTTTGAACATATTATATTTGAGTTGCCTCTTACATGTCCAAGTAGAGAGGCTGAATAAGCAGTGGAGGGTTAGGTTCAGGGGAGAGGTATGGGCTAGTGGTATAACTTAGAAGTCATCAGTGTGTAGATGATATTTAAGACTGTGGAACTGGAAAAAAAATCCCTTAGGAAAAAATCACTTAGAAGCGAGGTCTGAGACTGGGTTCTGGAGCGCTTCCCCAACCTCGAAATCGTACCCTTTACTTTTACATTTTAAATAAATACTCCTTTGAGGCCGGCTCAGTGGTGTAGTGGTTTAAGTTTGCATACTCCACTTTGATGGCCCGGGTTCGCAGGTTCGGATCCCAGGCATGGACCTACAACACAGCTTGCCAAGCCATGTGTGTGGCGGCATCCCACATACAAAACACAGAATATTGGCACAGATGTTAGCTCAGTGACCATCTTCCTCAGCAAAGAGAGGAGGATTGACAACAGATGTTAGCTCAGGGCCAATCTTCCTCACCAAAAAAACAAAACACTCCTTTGGTGACAGCTCATATTTTAATATAAGTTCAATTGGCATTTACTGAGCATTGTCTTGTACAAAGCATTATGCTAGCCACTGTAAGCTGTTCAAATATGAAAAAAAAAATTTCTGTTCTCCAGAAAGGGAAGAGGTCAGAGATGAGGAAGAAGACAACTTTCATTGAGTATATACACTTGTGTTAGACACTTGCCAGTGGTAGTTTATTTAATCCTTATAATAGTTATATTATTTTATAATCCTTATAATATATATTATATTGTCAGTAATGTGCCCCAAGTCACAAGTTACTTGGTGGGTAGCATGCCAGCATTTGATCAATATTGATCCAACACTGAGCCTATCATGCTGTCTGGTTTGTGAAACTCCTAGTCTAGCTAAAGATATAGACACATAAAAGGCAGTAGACTGAACTAATCACACTGATGTTGAGACAGTCTACTGAGAGCATAGGGACTGTCAGATCACTTCAATATTTGAGAACTGCTTTGAGTGTGCTCATAGGGGAACCAGAATGTTAAGTTTCCTTTCTTTGTCTGAAGGAAGACTCTTTGTGGAAGGAAGGGGAGTGTGCATACACACACATAGCTCATCCGCTTATAAAATTTCAATTAAATGAAAAGAGGTTTAATTTCAGGTAGTAATTGGTTTTTGCCAAGCACTTTTTAAAATTAAATGTAAAGTATTCTGTGATAAAGGAAAACTCTGTTTGTCTATTTGTGAAGAAATTGAAATGTTCTTCCTTTCAGCTAATTTTAATGTGTCACAATACATCTTTGTTTTTTAATTCACCTGCCTGAGAACATGGTAACAGTGGAAAGACTCTTCTCCATTCTAAATAAGGCTCAGTTTGTTTATTTAACAGTTGTGTACTCAAGTAGCTCACACTCCCTCCAGGCCAAATTGAAACCAGAGAACATGAAAACAAGCTGTATTCGGCTCCTCACACAGCCGTTCAGTTCGGCTGCCTCACACCATGTGACCTGCAGAGGTGGCCTCTGAATCATGACCTTAGCTCTAAGATCACCCTACATTTCACTTGCATTATGAAATACACTCTAGCAAGTTCACTAGAGTAGCCAGCTCTGGCCTGGAGGTGACTGCTACAAGCTATTGTAAGCTCTTTGAAGCTTTGTAAAGATGCCCTGAGTTAGGAAAAAATGAGATGAAATCACTGTAGGAAAGCTCGATTCCCCTGTGAATATCCACCCACAGATGCAGTGCTGGAAGAACTTTCTGGTTGAATTTCTATTACACCTGCTTTCTTAACATTAGGATTAATTCCTAGGGTGGGAGTCCCTTTTGTAAGAAAATACTTCAGTGCAGTGGCAGAACAAGAGCAGAAAGACCCCTCAAGAAATAGCAGTGTCCAAATGGGAATCCTTCTTAGCAGTCATGCCAACAGAGAAAATACCTTTCAGTACCAAATATCATATGTAAATTTAAATGATGCTTACTTTTGGAGAGAAGTAGATGCTAGGCAGATGACTGGTGATAATTTTGGTAGTTCATCTGAGGTCTTCAGACCTCTTCAAGACTCTGAGGTTCCTACCTAACTGGCATTTTCTTTCCTATTTATGTTCAAGATATCTTAGATAATGATTACGAGGGTAAAAAATATATTCATACTTTCAAAAATAATTGTGTTATTTCTAATTTAAGAAGTAAGATCAAGATCGTCTATCACAGCAATTATCCTGAGTGGTTTAAACATTTCTAAAAGAAAAAAAAAGGCTCTTGCATTGGATTTTAAAAATCTAATTATAATTGTTGAATCTGAATTCCTTATACCATTCTCTCTTTACCTGTGTTTGAAATATTCCATGATAAAATATTTTTAGTGCTGTTGGTATCTATACCTATGTAAAGAGTGAAACATTATATATATATTTTAAAAATAAAGGACCATGATTGTGTGATTGAAAAAATGAATGAAAGGTAAAGTTTACTTAATTTGTAATTGATATATTTATAGGGGCAATGACCATGGCTTTGCTCGAAAACCTGGTGGCAGGAAACGTATACATTGTCAAGATATCTGCATCCAATGAGGTGGGAGAAGGGCCCTTTTCAAATTCTGTAGAGCTGGCTGTACTTCCAAAGGAAACTTCTGAATCAAATCAGAGGCCCAAGCGTCTAGATTCCGCTGATGCCAAAGGTCTGTATACTGCTATAGTCACTGATTTGTCTTAAGAAAATACATATATGTTCTTCAGCTCCTCTGCACTTTATTTCTGCTCCTGCCGTGGCCATATCCCGAAACCTGCTCCTGGAGTTGTTGCTGGTGAGGTTCTGATGCTAGGGAGCTGCATAGCTCTTCTCTGCACTCCTAGAGACAAACTTACCTCAGAATTAACTGCATTTTTCAGACCACTGTGTCCCCGTTACTTCTCTTCCTAGCTGTGCAGCCATCAAGACAGACGGGCCCCACCAACCACGAACTGGTGGGAGTAGGCTTCCTGGGAGGTTCCATGGGAATAAAACAGCAGTGGTGGTTGTGGTGTCCAAGCTAAGAAGAGCATGGTTGGGGGCCGGCCCCCTGGGTTAGCAGTTAAGTGCGTGCGCTCCGCTACTGGTGGCCCAGGTTCGGATCCCGGGCGCGCACCAACGCACTGCTTCTCCGGCCATGCTGAGGCCGCCTCCCATATACAGCAACTAGAAGGATGTGCAACTATGACATACAACTATCTACTGGGGCTTTGGGGAGAAAAAGGGGAAAAAAAAAGGGGAAGGATTGGCAATAGATGTTAGCTCAGGGCCGGTCTTCCTCAGCTAAAAGAGGAGGATTAGCATGGATGTTAGCTCAGGGCTGATCTTCCTCACAAAAAAAAAAAAAGAGCATGGTTTTCATTAAGAGTTTTTACCGCAAAAAAACAGCCTTTCCAGAGAGAAAGTTGTTTCTCTCCAGAAAGCAATTGGAAAAAATATCTTTAAATAGCCACCCTCACTCCACTCAGGGCAACATCCTTCTGTTCTGAAGGAAACCGGGGCCTGCTGTGGTACAGAGTTGACTAGACACCTCCTTTTCCTCCTCTCTGGGGGAGTGGGCGTGTGTGTGTGTGTGTGTGTGTGTGTGTGTGTGTGTGTGTGTGTGTGTGTGTGCTGGGGGCGGGGAATAGCTTTAAATGGGGGGAATGCTAGCTGAACTCAGGACAGGATTAATTAAGGGTTCATAGTTCCTTGGAGGATTGTTATTCAGTGCTGTGTGTGTGTATGAAAGAGAGAGAGAGACTGGGAAGGAGAGAGAAAAAGAGAAGGGCAGGAGAGTCAGATTTAAGCACAAGAAGGAGGTAGCCACGTTAGCTACCATATCATCAGGGGAAATGGAGAGCAAGGCTCATATTCACTTCTTAAATACCTTGCTACTCAAAGTGTCTGGGGACCAGCAGCATGAGTGTCACCCGAGAGCTTGTTAGACCTGCAGAATCACAGACCCCACCCCAGACCTAGTGAATCACAATCTGCTTTTTAACCTATCCCCTCGTGACTCATATACACATTAAAATTTAAGAAGTAATGCTATGTAAGTACATAAACGTACGTGGAAAACTAATCTTCTGTATACATATCTGCTTTTAAGGTAACATGGCATGAAAGCTATCCTTTGGTCCATCAAGGAACATCTCTGCCTTGTGCCTTTTAGCATTATAAATTGTGAACTGATGTTCACGTTTGATATAATAATATAATATCTAAAACTCATATTTAGAATCTTTGGTACTGGAAGATAAACCCATCTTTGAGATCACTGAGAAAAGAGTAATATGTGTCTTTTCTGCTTAGACACAGATAATGTCAAAAGTTTTCCAATGAGATAAAGAAAAATTATAGAAAAGCAAATATCTGAGAATTATGTTAAATGGAATCATTCATTTTTCTGATTGATTCTGAGTAAATGTGTTTCCCCTTTAGTTTATTCAGGCTATTACCATCTGGACCAAAAATCAATGACTGGCATTGCTGTAGGCGTTGGCATCGCCTTGACCTGCATCCTCATCTGTGTTCTCATCTTGATATACCGAAGCAAAGCCAGGTGTGTTTCCATTGCTGGAGATGTGGAGGTGGTTAAGAAACATTTAAATTGCAGTAACCATGAGAAGCAAATTGAAGTCAAGTGCCTTTTAGAGTAGCTGGGATTTTTCACTTTAAAATTTTTATTACTTGAGTTCTTACAGCTATAGAGACGTGCTCATTTTGGAAGGAGATTATTTTCTTGCCATGTGAAAAATTACTGTGCCAATAAAATATTCTTAAATGAGAACCTAGTTTCCTCATTTCCTTAGTATTTTGAGAAAAACAAAGTATGTCCTTGGGTTTTTTTTTAATTTAAATGACACACTTAACCTGATGTATCTGCTGATTAAGAAGATTTTTTTTACTGTCTGGAATATTTTCATATTTAAATAGCCTGAAATGCCTGCAAGCTCCACTCTCCCCACCACAGGACATACGTTTTGGATTCTCCAGACGTGGATTAAAACATGTAATAAGTAGAGATTGGTTCTTTATAAACTCTGTCAAAAAATCTGATTTGTAGCTTGACTTCGGCTGAACTCTCAGCATTCAGTGAACTTGTCTCTTTCCAACCTTTATGTTTTGGCTTTTGCTTTTTTTTATTTTCTTAAAGTTCTTTCTTAAAGTCAAATACACATCATTTTTAGATAATTCCCATCACTAGACTCCCTCTACTAGCATAGGTTTTTCCGAGTTTACTCTCTACGCTTTTAGTACTTATGCATAGAAACATACTCAGAAAACATTTTATGTTAGTGAAAGATTTAGTTCTTACATCTTCTTATAAATTGAACTGGCTTAGTTTTACTGTCCAAGTTTCTCAGTTTCAGAATTTTTTATAAAATCTTTATGCACATTGTTTTAGTAGTGATGCCTAAATCTTGCAGAAGTGCTGCTGTAAATTTGCCATCATTAATTGGCAAGTGAATTGTTATGTTAGTGTGACAATCTGCAGACCTGAAGGAAAATGTGTAAATTAAAAATTATAACTTCTGCGCAAATCATAATCAACAATAATAAATAATAGCACTTTGTAAATATTAAGGTTTTTATTAAGTGTTTGTAAAAAGTAATTTTATATAAGCAGATATTGGAGCAAAAAGAAATAAAGCTTCCTCGAATGATAAAAGTTCGCAGCAGTGAGTTGGAGTTAAAATCTAACACTCAGTTTCTAAAGATATTTGAGAAATGGCATTAAAGAACTCTGTTGTTTTCAAAGTTGTGATTATAAGCCAAACCTGGTACATTTGCCTACATCTTCTGTGAAATTAGAAGTTTCCTCTTCTTGCAATATTCTAGGAAATCATCTGCTTCGAAGATGGCACAGAATGGCACTCAACATTTATCTGGGACCAGTGCCTCCCTAGCCAGTGGGAATGAAGTAGGAAAGAACCTGGAAGGAGCTGTAGAAAATGAAGAATCCTTAATGCCAATGATAATGCCAAACAACTTCATTGATGCAAAGGTACTCTGCTCTGAGAGACTGACTTGCTGTGTATCCTTTCCTCCATTCTTCTCTTTATGTGTAGAATTTACTTACCCAAAATTATATGTTGAATGTATTATATCCATACTCCACTTAATGAAATGTAAAAGAGTTTCACCCAGATCCTTCCTTACATAAAATATTTGAGGAGAAGATAGGGATAGATAAAGGATGAAAGAGATATAGGAAAAAATGAGAAAGTAGCATAAATTCAATTAGATGGGATTATATGGAGCTAAGATGTCTTAAATAAGGACACCAGGATCCTTAGTCTGTATTTACTATAATGTGAACTTCCTTGTATGTACTGGGCGGACAATTTTTTTATTAATCCATTTTAAACTTTGATTTTTTAACTGAATTGAGCATCAGAACATTCTGAGTAAGAATAACATTTTGTAAACTATGGAACATCTCAACAGATGTCTCAAGATCCTTCCGTTTGTGGCCCGAGGAAGTTGGAAATAGTAATGTCATTAGAGGATGTTACTTCATGTCCTTTCCACTATATGTAATAATAGTACAGTGATAAGCATTATGAACACCAGCTGAAAATTATTTTTACTCACACTGCAACATTAGATAGTGTGCATTATTATAATAGATCTTGTAACCAATGTGCTGTAACTCAGGTGTCAGTAAACTACAGCCCAGCCCAGGCCAGCCCACGGCCTGTTTTTGTATGGTCACCCCCTGAGCTAAGAATTTTATGTTTATAAAGGTAGTTTGAAAAAAAAAGAAGGATAAAATGTAATAGAGGTTATGGTTATATGTGGCCTGCCAAGCCTAAAATATTTACTATTTGATCCTTTACAGAAGAAGGTTGCCAAATCCTGCTATAAATTCTTTTTCCCCAACACTTCCCTAAAATGTAGAAGAACAAAAATATAACAACATTTCAGGCAGTTTTTATATTTTATACAATTATATTTAACAGATGCAATCTATCTGCATCTAGCATAGTGACATATAGTATATATATTACGGGTAAATAATAATCAATTGATTTTTGCTGCTCCTGTTGTCTTTTTTGTTTGCAACTTAATTTAGCTTTTTTTTCCTAACACAAATGTAAGCCATTCAACTTATTGCTTGTGTAAAAGAAGAAATAGTGATGTCAATTATCATTTTTTTTCTTTTAACAATTAAAATTTTGTGTACTACTTGTGATAAACTGAGATCTGTAAAACCAAGATATTTACATTTTCCCCTTTTATTTCTCTAGGGAGGAACAGACCTGATAATTAATAGCTATGGTCCTATAATTAAAAACAACTCTAAGAAAAAATGGCTTTTTTTCCAAGATTCTAAGAAGATAAAAGTCGAGCAGGTAACCCACCTAGATGAGAAAAATCTCTTAGCAACCCACGGTGTATGAAATGATCATTTAAAAGAGAGGAAAACATAAATGAATGCTTTATTTTAATTTCTGTGTTCTTTCTGGCTGTGATTTTATTAATTTGGGGCATGGCTATGGAAAGCCATGGTGAGTGATTACTGAAATGACAGAACAGTGATCAGAGCTGTGGGTTTCAGTGGGAGTGGGGGCAATGGGGAAAGGGGTGGGGTAGGAGCCCACATCAGAATCCTAGAAGAAGCCTGTTGACACTTTCCTTGCCCCAGTGCTTCTGATGTGCTCACACTCCTCGGTGGGGAGCCCTGACCTAGACAAACCCTTCATGATGGTGACCTTTCACCCATGTACTTGAACAGTTTGCTATCTCAGAATGTATAGAACATGTAAAACCAGATTTATTATTTTTCAAGAGCACTCTGTCGTCACTGATGGTGTTTTATGTATTTTTGCCTAGCCTCAAAGAAGATTTACTCAAGCAGTCTGCTTTTACCAGCCAGGCACTACTGTACTAATCAGTGATGAAGACTCCCCCAGCTCCCCAGGTCAAACAGCCAGCTTCCCAAGACCCTTCGGTGTTGCAGCTGATACTGAGCATTCAGCGAATAGTGAAGGCAGCCACGAGACTGGGGATTCTGGAAGGTTCTCCCACGAGTCCAATGATGAGATACACCTGTCCTCAGTTATAAGTACCACACCCCTGACCTCCACTTCCTTTACTGGCAGTGATTCAGGTGGGGATCCCTCCATGAAGCGGTGTGAAGACCCTGCAGTGCCGTCGGATGCTGAGCAAACTTCCTCTTCAGTTCTGCAGCCCCCATCTGCCGTGCTCTGCTTTGATAAAAATGATTTTCCAATCTAGACAGCCATGTTCAGGTATTCTCACCTTTAAGTCTGTTCGAAGGACAATGAACAGGGAGCCAAAGCCTTTTGTGAAAATCTTGATGTCTTATTGGGTATTTCAGCTTTTTTTGAATGTGTTTTTTTTTTTTTAATTTTTAAACTCACGTATTTTGAATGTTTCATTGTCAGCAATGTGAAAAGACAGTCAAGATATTTGACTGGATTATAAAAGATATCACTGGAGCAAAGGGAGACTTTTGAAAGCCCCTTTGCTGGCTATCTACCTCAGTTTGCCAGTTGGCAAACTCAGAAGACAACTTTGTTACCTCGTTTGTTGTGATAGTTTATCTCAGCTACATAACCAATGATACTTCCTAGTAGCATTTTGTTTTCATTGCTGTATGTGTAATGTGTGTTATCAAAGGAGTCATATAGGTAGATGAGTAAGAATGTTTATCTGAAGCTCTGATTTTTTTACAAAACTATGATATCTGCGTGGTTTAGATAATTTAACACCTCTGGCTGTGAGGACGTTAAACCACTGAGAAGAGAAAAAGTGGGACTGTTGATTTTAATGAATGACCAAAACAAAATGTATATCTCTTTTGAGAACAGAACTACTCAATAGCATATAGGGAATACTATTGCTTCAAGAGCCTTTGTGTCGTGGGCATTGGGTCTGAGCGCTTTGTCTACTGTATCCTAAACCTCAGCCTGCCGAGAGCCGTGCCTTTTCTCCCTTCCTGTTTGCCTGATAGTGGCCAAAGGCTGGACTGCCTAGTTTGCAAAGCATCCTCAACATTTCCAGTATTAGCTGCAAAACCATGCAGAAAGCAGATTTTTCAAAAGAATGGGTTAGAGTATTTGGTTTCTTTTTTTAAATCCCAGCCTGCTTAAAGGGGTGAAGATATTTCACATAATAGTAAGAATGAAGATAAATGCAACAATAGGCAGTGAAATGAACTTGAGGTTATCATGGTAACAGTGCCTTCCATTATATATTATGAAATTCTTTGCCTTATGTCTTAATACTCATGAAGTTGTTCAGGACAGGAGTAGAAAAGTTGCCTTAAGAGTGTCTTGGATTATATCAGTAACTATTTTGATGTACAGTATCTTATCAAAGCATTTGGTTTGTTTTCATGCAGGTTTTGTTTAGGGATAAGTATTCAGAGCTCTACCACCCTACTTGTCTTTTCTTGAATTCTTAAGAGAGTTTGGTACTCCTTATTTAATCTTCCTTCACTGTCAGTGCTGTGAATGAGAAATGCTAACTCCAGGAGTGAGTTAATCCTCTTGCTGGTTTGAAATCAGCACGCTGTTTCCTCAGCCACATAGAATAGTCCTTCTCTCAGTCACGAGACAGTTTCCTACTAGGTGCCCAGCGGTGGGAGAGGATAAAGAATTAAACACATGGTCTAGAGAGGGGGCCCCATATCCTTTTTAAAGTATTTTTTCAAATTATCTGGAAATGACTTTTGAATCTCATTTTAAAAGGAATCTTAATGGGTTTCCCCTTGAAACCTTTGGTTTATAGAGGGGGGTCATGTTAAAGGGTGTTCTAAAATCCAAAGAATATTACTGGATTGCAGTCCCCCCTCTTTCATCTCCTATCCCATTGTCTGATGATACAACGTTTTTTGATTATTTTTTAATCTGTAGTTTTGTGCCAAACTGGATGTGTTCAGAAGCAAACCAGCATTAAGTGCTAGCAACCACTTCTGAACTAAACTGAAAGTCCCCCATTTAGTTATCTAGGTATGGGCGTCATGGCAAAACAAAAAAAGCAGAGCTTTAGGTGAACAATCTGAGGCAAGGAAAAATGCTGCTCCTGCCTTTATAGCTCCTGTTTTATACTACCTCCTTTTAAAGTTATTCTAGTGTTATTTTTTTTCCTGTACTCAGGGAATATTTTGTTAATTTTGAGCTGCCTCATGGAAGCATGGGCAAATTGACAGGGTATGGCGTTTTTTGGTTTGTAAGTAGAAGTATGTGGGGGCCAACTTTTATCAGTATCTAAAATTAAGGAGTTCAATGAGTTCATTTTATTTTTTAAACTTTCATTAAAAGGTAAACAAAATCTAAAGCGGAAACATCATCCATCCTGATTATGGAAGATGTGTCTAGGACTATATGAATTTGAATCGTTTCAAAAGCCTAAAATGATGATCTGAAGTCCTTGAGGAAATTCTTTTGTTTGGTTGGTTTTTGATGAATAGGCCCATGGTTATTGTAGATCTTTAGGCTATAACTATTTGCTAATTATTTACCAGTACATTTTTTGCTTTTTCATCTTTTCATTTTGTTCTTATACAGATTTTTTTCATAATAATCTGTTACTGAAGAATTTTCAGTAGAAAGTGAAAATTTGACTATAATTTCCCCCCCAAATTGAATTAACTAGAAACATCTATATGTATGAAGTTTATACAAGTAGTTACTAACCCAAAATAATAGAGTTTATATTGATTGTTATAGTTAAATAGACTAGTAATTTTAACTACCTTATTGTTACCGGAGCATTTAAAATAAGCTCTACCAGCAGATAGTTCCAAAGAATTTCAAGTGTATTTTTTTTTTCTTCAGCAAGTACATCTTCAACTGTACAGTATTAAAGTATTTTTAAATGGTTGAAACTACCTGTTGGAGAGAAAAAAAATCTTTTCACCAAAGATAAATATTTTGGTCTCATTGAGTAAGATATTTAGTGTACAGCAAAGACTTCTTTTTTACTTGGCCAAAGCAAGCTTCTTTGAAGTCTTAAGTATGAAATTGTAACTAAAATGTGAAGGTTCTCACTCATCTCCTATAGTGGTGTTACTTCATGGTATTTCACTCCAAAGGGGCTAATAGGCAAATGCTAACTGTTTTCTTTTCCAAAGACTTATTTGCTGTAAGTACTGATACACACGTGTCATTTTTATGCCAAATATTACAAGATACTGCTCATCAGTATTTTCATACCAAAGATCATTAAAATATATAGATTAGCCTTTAAGTAAGTAAAGATGAGCAGATTTGAAATAAATTTATTTAGAGGCTGATAGGGACTCTAGCTTTAGTAGCAAAGATATCAAAGGGCTAAGTTTACATAATTAAAAGCAATACAATTATATTGGTATTTATCAGTGTTTTTATTCAAGTACTTTTTATCAGCAAATTAAAAAAAAAAAGCCAAAGATATTTAAGGTTACCTCCGCATATAGGCAAATTTAGTTGTACGTTAAACTGTTGTTTCTTGTTTTTATGTCAACCAAACGTGTCTCTCCAGAACCCAGTGTGTCTACAGATAGCATACGTAAGGACTTGCTGTTAAATCTGCTGATTCAGCCACAGGATGTTTTTGCCAAATAATGTGATACTTTCCTAAGTACCTTGAGCATGAGATGTCAACAAAAATATCAGCAGGCTTGTCCATTGCAGAGCATTATGGCAGCCCCTGAATCAGCCTGAGCAGTCTTCCTCCTGCTTAAAGCATTACCTAGTTAACTCAGAAGGCTGGGGGCAGTCCCTTAATAACGGAGATGTTCTCATTTCTGGGGAGCAATGGGATTTAACAGGCAGACAAATCCTATCACTGTTTAAGTGACTTGTACTTGGATAGATGTGCTCTTTAAAGTTGTCCATAAATTGAAATATTTCAATTGCATCAAGGGAGCCTGGTATTTCAAACTTTAGTGGAACCTTGGGTGAAACAAAAATCTTCTTTATGAAATCTGGAGTTTTATATTTTTATTAGCCTAAAAGTAAGGACACAGCTTTATTCACTAAGTGGCTTTAAAAAGTCAGCTTTGGCACACCAGGGAAATTAGATTCTCAGTGAAATGCCTTTTATTTGCCTTTGCTTCAAGCAAGAGGAGTGCCAGCACGGGGAACAATGACGGTGATTCGCATTAGTTTGTCTTTGCATTGGTTTGGCATTGCTAAGGACTTCCTGCCACAAACTTGCTCTTGTTGACAATTCAGGATCATTGCTCAAGTCCATGTGAAGATAGCTTTGGAAACAATTCAGTGTCACAAAACGATGGAATCGAAAGTATCTTTTTTTCTTAATGCAAGAATATCCAGATGTGGTTCCAATTCAGCAGTGATTCACATGTATGTTTATTTTTCATTGAATGTAAATTCTGAATACTGAATGTTAAAAGAAAGTTCCAACTATATTGAAAGAGTCATGATCTTTCCAAGACTAAACATGTATTTTGCAGACTTTATTCCTGCCAGTTTGCCACTAGGTCTCTGGTAAAATTGCTTTGGTTTATAGTCAAAATAATTTTTGTGGGCTGTGAGCACAGAATAGAGGGTTCTGGAGATCAACATACACAACCAGTTGTCTAATTGTGAGTTTTATTGATGTTTAGAAGGACATATACATAGATTTCTGTGTGAAGTTGATTTATGCTCAGGACATAAGATCACAGGCTAATGCAATGCGTGTGTTAGTAGGCTTTAATCTTCTCAGGCAGTCTCCCTTTTTAAGCCTTGGAAAGTGTTTAAGATTAACATGACAGTCTTGCATTTTTACAGAACAGATACTGTATTATTTTCTTATTGCTGCTATAACAAATGACCACAAACTTAGTGGCCTTAAAACAACACAAATATTATTGTCTCCCAGTTCTGTAGGTCAGAAGTCTTACAGGTCTCACTGGGATAAAATCAAGATTCATTTCCTTGTCTTTTCTGGCTTTTAGAGGCTGTGGACCCCTCCCTCCATCTTCAAAGCCAGCAACGTAGCATCTCTCTGACCCTGCTTGCATTATCATATCTCTTTTTCTGACCCCATCTGGGAAAGGTTCTCCAGTTTTAAGGACTCATGTGATTAGATTGAGCCCACCTGGATAATCCAGGATACTGTCCCCATCTCAGAACTCTTAATTTAATCACATCTGCAAAGTCCCTTTTGCCATGTATGGTAACATATTCAGAGTCCTGGGATTCAGCATAGACTTCTGTAGCTGGCCATTATTTTGTCTACCACAGATACATTATTTCTATAGAATTCTGATCCCCACAAAATGTCTATACATTACAGAGATTGGAAGTCTGAAGCCATGTGTCCCCCGGGGATCTTTAAATTTCAAAGCTACAGAAACCTTGGCGTGTAGCCTATCACATGTATACATTAAACTTTCTCTCTAAGTCACTTGCAAAAACAATTCAGCTTTAAGCTTTTTGAATATGTGCTTCATAAAGTAACATCTTAGTTCTATGTGTTTAACAGAAAGTTTCCTAAATATTTGGCCCTAACTTTATGGAATTTCATCAGAAATTTTTGAAAACTCTGCTTATTATAGTTGAACTTTCTCTTTTTCTCTAAAGTGATTGTGTTAATGGAAGAAAGACCTCAAAACATAGGGACTCAGAGTAGATGAACAGGGCCTCGCTCAAGTTCATTCTTCGTGTTTTTTAAAAAGCATATTTGCGGGCTGGCCCCGTGGCGTAGCGGTTAAGTGCGCACGCTCCGCTACTGGCGGCCCGGGTTTGGATCCCGGGCGCGCACCAACGCACCGCTTCTCTG